CGGTCTCACGGAGAAGAGTTGGAACGTTAGCATGGCAGCCGACTAGTGCTAACGTCCCTACGCTTCTCCGCCAGGCTCAGTGAGCCGGAGCCGAGAAGCGTGGGGACGTTAGCGTTAGCACTAGTCGGCTGCCATGCTAACGTTCCAACTCTTCTCCGTGAGACCGTGAGCCTCTGGCTCCAGCTCACGGAGAAAAGAGGGATGTTAGCGTTAGCTCCCAGAGTTAGCACTAGAGCTACTATGGCTACTGGAGTAACTTGCAGCTATGGAGCGCTTCTACCAGCTCTTCTAGTCACTGAGCCTCGCCTCCATTTCAGCAAATATACTGCATTTATTACAGGTACCATCATCATTGAAGTAGGCAGGGGAATAGCTAAACACAGCCGCCAGGCTGCCGGCCGGGCTACATTTTACAATGCTAATTGCAAATGTTAGCTGGGCTGCCGGGCTACTCACCTAACACAACCGTAACGCCTGACCCATTGCTGGACAGAGCCGCTAATAACTCAAGCTCCGGACATTAACCCATGCTACAATTGTAACATTAAATTTAATTGAATCGACATAGCGACATGTGCCTAACGTTACTGTAACACTAATTAAAACAGACATTTGACTTTATCTTGTACCTGTCCAGGAGAAGAAGAGCTGGCTCCGAGTCAGATTGTAGCCCCTTTAGCTCTTGCAGTGCTCTCCACCTTGGAAATGCAAGGCCAATGTTAATCCGAGTTCTGTCCCTTTCTTTATCCGACAACTTCTTCGCCAACAATTGTTGTTTCTTTAGAGGTAATGTCAGATCCTGGTCGTCTTCAGGTGGACGTTCCGCTCTCTGCCATTTCATTTCGAAAATACGCGCTACCATTGCTCACTGGCTGTAGCCTTTTATAGGGAGGGAGGGCCGGGGGGGGGGGGGGTTCACATGAACACACATGAACGCACAGCTGGACCGGTTTGTAAACAATGGGCTGGAGATCAACACAGAGAGAGGGTGTGTGAGGTCATGCTACACTCCAGATGAAATTACACCTCTAGTTATTCACATAGCAATTTTTTAATTCCTTCAATCTAGAAATGATGAATTTTGCTTATTGCTCCTTTAAATTGAGTTTTACCTAGTCAGATTAACACTGTAGATATCTTGAAGTGGAATTATGACCAGTCAAAATTATGTTGTAGATATCTCAAACTAGAATCAGGGATAGTCGTAATTTAATTGCAGATATCTTTAATCAAGTTGTAGATAGTTGAAGAATTATGATAAGAGATATCCAAATTGGAGATATCTTAACTCTCATTCTGCCTTGTCAAAATGTGATTGCAGATATCTTGAATTAGAGTTTTGACTAGGCAAAATGACGATGCAGATATCTGTAAAATTGGGAAGCGGGAGCAGGTGGGAGGCGGGAGCAGCTTGCTATTCAATGAATCAAACCCATTCAAATCATCGACCACTGCAACCTTATTTCTCCAGCCTAGCTATGAAATGCTAAAACGGCTTGCCATATGTAATATAACCCATATGGTTTGCTGCCATGTCGGAGCAGCCGGAAGCTGCTGTAGTTGGAGTTTTTGACAGGGTTTTTAACAATGCAGCCTGTGCACAACAGGAGCTGTCGGCGATAAATGCAGAGGATTTACTCTCGACAACAAGACAACTATTTCGCCGTCAAGTGGATTTCTTCTGCTAACACTGTTCAATTGTATTGTTTACTAAGCCAATATCCAATGGAAAGCTTGCCATAATGAGCAACGAATGGGATGCCTCGCTTGAGCAACGTCTTCCACAACAATTCTGAGTCGTCATAATTACGTTTGAAATAGCTTTAACTTTCATTCTGCCTAATCGAAACTGAATTATAGATATCTGTAAGTGTAATTTAGGATGTGTGACGAGTCGAGTTACGTTTTCAGTGACGTCATTGCTGATATCTAATTTAGGTTTGATTAGTCAAAACTGAATTACAGATATCTCTAACTGTCATTTTGACTGGTCAGAATGAAGTTATAGGTATCTTGAATGACAATTCTTACTAGTCACAATGTAATCATGACTAGTCAAAATGAAGTTGTTGATATCTATAATGTTAATTCTGGATAGTCAAGCTTAGCCATTAAATGTTAAAACGGCTTGCCATAGTGGTCCTGCTGATGCCTCCTACTGCTACTGTTAATATTAGTCATACTTCTACTGGTACTATACACATATGATTATTGTCACATACACAATCATATATTAACATATACTTACAACATATTGTACAATAGTCATAATTATTATTATAATATTATTTCTTAAATAATGTTGTTGTAAGCTACTGTCATTACTGTCTGTCCTGCATCGCTCTGTCATATGGATTACTGTAAATTTATTATGTTGTCATTATGTCTGTTCTGTACAACATCTATTGCCCATCTGTCCATACTGGAAGAGGGATCCCTCCTCAGTGGCTCTTCCTGAGGTTTCTACCCCCCCCCCCCTCCTTTAAAGGGTTTTTTTGGGGGGAGTTTTTCCTTATCCGCTGTGAGGGCCCCCTCTGAGGCAAATTGTGACGTGATATTGGGCTTTATTAATAAAACTGAATTGAATTGAAACTTCGGGTATGCCTTGGACACTTGTTTTAAGTAAATTTATGTGGGTTTTACAGAATGCCTAATTATAGAAGACATTTTAAAAAAATAAGTCCATTAATAGCTTAGATGGAGCTTTATTTTGAAAAACATTGGCGGAAATCGTATTGTTTACTTTGTGTGGCTTGGTGGCGCCTCTGAACTGGGTATCTCAGTTGGTCCGATAATATCACAGCCAAATTTGAGAGAACACGTCCTGAGGACAACTCCTATGAACCTGCTTGCTGTCTTTATTGCATGAAAATGGTAAAGGTAAGTTTCCTAAAGCGGTACTACGAATTACTTTGATGTATTGTCATCGTGATTACTGTCGTTATAAGCAGCTGAAAATAATTCCTCCTCACGAATCAAATAGGTTTCCACTATGTTGTATGTTGTTACATGACAACATAGTGGAATCAAATAGGTTTCCACTATGTTGTCATGTAACGTTCACGTGCGTCTCATTACCGGTCTATGTGGCATTAACGTTAAATGTGCAGGCCGGGCTGTCAGCCACGCCAAGCTCAATATAGCCAATTTAACTTTTAGGATTTTTCAACACTTGTTGGCATCATAGTCTCAAATCGAGTTCGTTGTGGTCTTACAACAGAGAGAACTGACATATGTGCCAGGCTCCATCTAAAAATCTCGCAAATTAACGCCGCTTTGACTCCTTTCAGTTATAAAGCCAGGTTTACCTGTCGTATTTGTTGTGAGATTTTCTGGCTCCTTGGTGAGCGCTATTCAGTTCGGGCCAGATTTGTTACTCAGAGCACCACAGAATGTCAATGAAAGAGGCCTATCCACTTTTGTGATAATAAAGGTATTCTCAGTCTCCTTCCACCAACATGCAGTGATCAGGGCGGTCGCGGTAGCTGTGCCCCAAATATTAAAGTCGCGATTATATTGCAATTGAATCCTAACCTAATGTATGCCGAACACCGTTGTGAGTTGTTACAGCTGTTGGATGTTGTTTTGCGGTTTGTGTGTTTGCCAATGAGCAAGGCTTCATTAATTGGGAAATAGCATTTTTCCTTCTCCTTTCAGCATGCGGGAGAAGTCAGTGGGCTAAATGCTGACGAGTAACACCTATCTGTGAGCCTATCTATTTGACTGTGTTCTCCTCGGATCTGTCCCTATCACTGAACGCTGGATGATCGACTGAAATTGTGATTTCATAGACCTCATGTTGTTTACTGAATGACACAGTGAATAGAAATTACCATGTGAAATCCCTGTTGGCTGCTGTGGTGTTGCATTTGCAAATGGACTGCTATCCACCCTGCTGCTCTAGTTCTCATTCATCTCTCACTGTCGGTATAATGTGAGGATGTGTACACCAAGGGAGAGGGGGATATATTCACTTGTTGGGTGATTGCTCTTTTAGAAAGCAATTGAGTAGTGGGTGTTTCTGTGCTTTGACTTATTATGCATGCTGTGTTGAACCCCCTTCCCAGGCTCCTGCTGCAGTGTCTATGGATTAAAAGCAGCCTAGTGAATATTGGTGACGACTTCTCCTCTGTGTAGCAAGATGGGGAACGGATTTTCAGATCATCACTTCCTCTTCCCCTGCCTGCCGTCCTTCCAGGCTTTCCACATTGTCATTCTAGGACTGGACTGTGCAGGCAAAACCACTGTACTGTACCGCCTGCGTTTCAATGAGTTTGTGAACACTGTACCAACTAAAGGTTTTAACACAGAGAAGATCAAAGTGTTAATCGGAGGAAGTCGACAGACAGTGTCTTTCCATTTCTGGGATGTAGGTGGTCAGGAGAAGCTGCGTCCTCTGTGGCGCACTTACACACGCTGTGCTGATGGCATCTTGTTTGTGGTGGACTCAGTGGATGTTGAGCGCATCGAGGAGGCCAAGACAGAACTGCACAAGATCACACGGCTGGCAGAGAACCAGGGAGTGCCAGTCCTGGTGGTGGCTAACAAACAGGACCTGAGGAACTCACTCAGCCTGGCTGAGATGGAGAGCATGTTGGCTCTAGGTGAGCTCAACATTGCCACACCCTGGCACCTTCAGCCTGCTTGTGCTATCATTGGTGAGGGGCTGCATGAAGGTCTGGAGAAGCTACATGCCATGATCATGAAGAAGAGAAAGATGCTGCGGCAACAGAGGAAGAAGAGATGATGTGCTCACAGCAGGAACTATAAAATGTGAGGTGGATCTACATAAGAACTTCTATGAGTTGCATACAGTCTGCTGTTCTATTGTGACAAGTAATTTGGCTGCCATTTCAAGTCTGATTGGCAGAGTTTAATTGTTCCAGTGGAACTATTTGTTCAGGTCAGCCAGTGTATGGCTCCGACCGAGATGTGAGATTGATTTTTTCCTGTGGACTTGGGATGCCAACAGTCTGTTTAGCAAGGAGTCATTTGTCAAGGGAGTCCAGTATCAGGCTACATACATACATGCAGCAGCAAGCTATGAAGTTTACATTGAGCTCTTACGAGGAGACAATGAGCTCTGTCCTGCCTGTTTTGTGTTATTTGCTCAAATATCTGCTGCTTATCTGTTAAAAACAATCAGTCTTTATAATTTTATTTTACCAAAGCTTGTGTAAGCAAATTAATCAATACTGCATATGTTAGTACAGGATCAAGTATTTTGTATTCATGTTGCACAGCAGGGATTAGTCAAGAAGTTCACGTTAAGACTAATGATTTACTAAGAACGGGTTGCACAATGATCCCAATACATGCAGACATGTAAAATGGCTGTTCATGATGTAAACATTTATTTATCACGAGCCAACATATTGTCAGCCCAGCCACAGTGATAGCAAAATGTGTCAGTGCGTTTAAAACATTAGATTTTGGTGTCAATTACTCTGAATGAAAAAGGGAGAGGGCTTCTTTCTAGAACCATCACTTTATACCAACAGGAAGTCAAGAGCAGAATGGGGGAGATGTCAAGTTTCTCCACTGAAAGTAGCCTTGAAAGAGCAGAATGCAGGGGATAGCAGACTGTTCCTCTATGCCAGATTGGGATCTTTGTTACAGTAATTAATGCAGGTCATACAACAGTTAATAATAGAAAGTTTAGTAATATAGTAACAGTAAAATGAGGTACAATACAATCATCTTAAATTTGTTATTTATTAGATTATATTATTAAGGGCTGTTATTGGGACTAGACCTATAAATTTTCCTGGCTGGTTGTACAACATATATTGGCCAAGCTAATTGCAGATATTGTGGTGTCATATGTCAGCTCTTAAGTAATGAGCAATGACAGTACAGAAATGCCAAATATATGGTTGAGGTAATTTGGAGAAAAAGTTTTGTTAAAAAGTGACTATCTGATATTCAGTTCAATTCAGTTTTATTAATCAAGCCCAATATCACAAATCACAATTTCCATCAAAGGCCTTTAGAGCACACGCCATCCCTCTGTCCTTAGACCGTCACAGCAGATAAGGAATGAGCGAATATATTGATCAAGTCACCTAATCTATGTCGCTTTGTTACCTGAGAGTTAACTACCATTTGTTTAAGGTATGTTAGCTTGCTAGCAGGGCTTGGTATATTTTAAAATGTGTCTCTACTAGTGGTACTGAGAGTTTTAGCATCATAATCAAAATTATACTTTTTTTTAGGGATGAACTGATTCATCGGCTACAGATTGGTATTGGACAAAATTTGCTTTGTTGGCTGCCATCGGCCTATCAGCAAGTAAGATGATATTCACCGATGGCAGTGGCCGAAGTTTTTATGTTGTGTCACATCAATTTTGCGCATGCTAAAAAGCAGGACTCCAGACTTATGTCGGGGACAATAGAAAACGTGTTTGGGATGGACAGAGAACTTCTCTGGGATGCCGTCAGGACGAAAAGACAAAATAAACTGACTATTGAAACCTCAGGGGATGCACCCTGTTGTTTCCGTGGTAATGCTACATTGTGAAAACAAATCAGTGTTGACATCAACAGGAAGAGGGCTAGTTAACGTTAGCTGTTACCTGGTAGCAATTGGTGACCAGAACTAACTGCGGGCGGTGGTTGCATCAGGGGCCATACATATACAGCATTTTGTGCGCCCCCAAATTCATTGTTTATTAAATGTAGACACGTAGCAGGCATGCTTAAACGCCAGAGCGATGACGTCATGGTGCGCACGCATTGCCGAGTTCGTGATGAGGAACAACTAATCACAGCGGGCAGATATCTTTTCCTTCATTGGTAAATATCAGTCTGTGGTAAATATGGAGAAGAAGGTGATCATTTTTGTGTAGGGCTGCCAGAGCTTTACATTTGACCTACACACAGACAACACCTGGAAGAAGATCAGCTCTGCACCTAGGATTTGAGGTAAATAGACTATGATATGGGGCTTGTTGAGGTTGCTTAGCAACCTCAGAAGCAACCTGCCACCATTCTCCGGAAAGGCACAATAGTGGCACCTAGTGCCTGACATCACGTCTTGCAGGTGGTTAAAGATGCAGCATGTGTACGGCCTCTTAAATTACATTATGATGCGTTCAATCACTAGTCAGTAAAAATGATTATTGTCTGCAGGTAAATTGTAAAGTTTTCATGATGTGTTAAATGTAATCTTGTAAAATGTAGTTTTTGGTTAGAAACTTGAATAAATACAGCTGTTTGAAGGAGAAATTTGTTTGTTTTCACAGCAATATAAAATAGATATTAGAGAGTGAATTATGAGATGTGTATGTGTGTGTTTGTGTATATATATATATATATATATATATATATATATATATATATATATACACACAGTACAGGCCAAAAGTTTGGACACACCTTCTCATTCAATGCGTTTTCTTTATTTTCATGACTATTTACATTGTAGATTCTCACTGAAGGCATCAAAACTATGAATGAACACATGTGGAGTTATGTACTTAACAAAAAAAGGTGAAATAACTGAAAACATGTTTTATCTTCTAGTTTCTTCAAAATAGCCACCCTTTGCTCTGATTACTGCTTTGCACACTCTTGGCATTCTCTCCATGAGCTTCAAGAGGTAGTCACCTGAAATGGTTTCCACTTCACAGGTGTGCCTTATCAGGGTTAATTAGTGGAATTTCTTGCTTTATCAGTGGGGTTGGGACCATCAGTTGTGTTGTGCAGAAGTCAGGTTAATACACAGCCGACAGCCCTATTGGACAACTGTTAAAATTCATATTATGGCAAGAACCAATCAGCTAACTAAAGAAAAACGAGTGGCCATCATTACTTTAAGAAATGAAGGTCAGTCAGTCCAGAAAATTGCAAAAACTTTAAATGTGTCCCCAAGTGGAGTCGCAAAAACCATCAAGCGCTACAAGGAAACTGGCACACATGAGGACTGACCCAGGAAAGGAAGACCAAGAGTCACCTCTGCTTCTGAGGATAAGTTCATCCGAGTCACCAGCCTCAGAAATGGCAAGTTAACAGCAGCTCAGATCAGAGACCAGATGAATGCCACACAGAGTTCTAGCAGCAGACCCATCTCTAGAACAACTGTTAAGAGGAGACTGCGCCAATCAGGCCTTCATGGTCAAATAGCTGCTAGGAAACCACTGCTAAGGAGAGGCAACAAGCAGAAGAGATTTGTTTGGGCCAAGAAACACAAGGAATGGACATTAGACCAGTGGAAATCTGTGCTTTGGTCTGATGAGTCCAAATTTGAGATCTTTGGTTCCAACCGCCGTGTCTTTGTGAGACGCAGAAAAGGTGAACGGATGGATTCCACATGCCTGGTTCCCACTGTGAAGCATGGAGGAGGAGGTGTGATGGTGTGGGGGTGTTTTGCTGGTGACATTGTTGGGGATTTATTCAAAATTGAAGGCACACTGAACCAGCATGGCTACCACAGCATCCTGCAGCGACATGCCATCCCATCCGGTTTGCGTTTAGTTGGACGATCATTTATTTTTCAACAGGACAATGACCCCAAACACACCTCCAGGCTGTGTAAGGGCTATTTGACCAAGAAGGAGAGTGATGGAGTGCTGCGGCAGATGACCTGGCCTCCACAGTCACCGGACCTGAACCCAATCCAGATGGTTTGGGGTGAGCTGGACCGCAGAGTGAAGGCAAAGGGGCCAACAAGTGCTAAACACCTCTGGGAACTCCTTCAAGACTGTTGGAAAACCATTTCAGGTGACTACCTCTTGAAGCTCATGGAGAGAATGCCAAGAGTGTGCAAAGCAGTAATCAGAGCAAAGGGTGGCTATTTTGAAGAAAGTAGAATATAAAACATGTTTTCAGTTATTTCACCTTTTTTTGTTAAGTACATAACTCCACATGTGTTCATTCATAGTTTTGATGCCTTCAGTGAGAATCTACAATGTAAATAGTCATGAAAATAAAGAAAACGCATTGAATGAGAAGGTGCGTCCAAACTTTTGGCCTGTACTGTATATATAGTAAAAAGGCTTTTGAAGCTTTTTTTGTTATTCATGTGAAAGGTTATATTACAGGTTGTTTCATAACTGTGTCTGATAGAATTTGTACTCGTTCAAAGATAGTGTAATGAAGGACTAAATGACTTTAAAACAGTTATTTGTTTTTAGAATGAAGATTTCTGTGTTTCCCTAGCACAAATGGGGGGATAAATGAAAAAAAAAAACAAAACAAAAAAAAAACATAAGTATCGTCCATCACCCTGGCATTGATACTGACCCAACAACTGGTGCAGCCCTACTGTTTCTGATACCTAGCTTTGAGGTGTAGAAACAACGTTTTTGACCATTTTGAACAAAAGTTGCCAACATACTCAAATTGTAAATGTCTAAACACTGAGCAGCCGTTGAAGGACTCTGATTAAAGCTAAAACTATAGCAAACTTTGATTTTAGTAAAATATCTGATCATAAACTGGATTACAGAATTGACCTGACAGTCATTACTTGGATATTCTGTGCAGCTGAAACATTTCTAAATAACATTTAGATTGACGAGCCTGAATTGCAAGCGAACAAATGTTAGTGCTGGATTGTTCAGAGTGATTTTAAAACACTTGTGATCATCCATAATGCACTTTGTTCTGGTGATGTTAGCTTCATTAGCCAATTTTTCTTCAGAGGCTCCGATAGTGAGCTAACATTTCTTAGCTGACAGCAGTTCGCTCACTAGCTAACTTTGGCAAACTTGTCCCTTGTTAGTAAGTTAGCTATTATTATAGATTTATACTTGTCAGGTTATTTTAATGTTTGTCAAACTGAATCTATTTTTCAACATAGATTCAATTTGACAGCATTTTCTTCAATCTCAGTTTTAGCAGTTATTCAGTAATATGACTTGTGAATGTGAAGTGTCATATATGTATGCATCATTTACTGGGTTCCTTAGATGGCAACTTAGCATAATCACATAGGAGCAAATGAAGGGGAAAGTGGATACACCAAAGATGTCAATAACACAAAATGTAAAAAAAAAACAACAAAAAAAAACAACTGATGATAATATTAATAATAAGCCCTTTTTAAATAGGAATTGTGCAAATTTGCAGGAAAGCCCAATCAGTCGTCTTTCAGCATTGGAGGTATAAAAACAAAATCGGGGAGGGCGTGCAATGGGGGGCGTGAGCAAGTAACAAAACGTGTAGCTCAGCGTGTGACGTAAACAGTGATGTACTCCAAGGGAAGCAGCAGCTGGTCAGTCCTTTGGTGATTCTCTCATAAGTTGGCCCGTCCTTCACATTCCCCGTCATTTGACAGTTAATGGTCTCTTCATTTGGAGGGCAAGAAGGGCGCGCAATTCTTTGTCTCCCCAGTTGCTCATTTTTACAGTGTCTTTCAGGTTTGCGTTTCCCTCTTGCTACTATAGTACTAGCTGCTCATTCCTGCTATCAGCTGTTTCCTGTTTATCCACTGCCAGCGGGTCGCACGTGCGGCGTCATCAACAGCTCCTCCAACAAGTCATCAACAGCCCCTACTGAGGCAGAAAGGCGCCTCATTCTTTTCAAACCAAAAAGGGTTCCACCAATATATTTACCCCTACGTGGCAGAAAATTGGGCACCTCGGATCAACTCGCCAATCCAGCTCTGTGTGTCTAAATGCTCGCAGCTTGCCAGCAAAACAACCCAACATTCCCAAAAATCTTGCAGTGTAAAAGGGGCTACAGTCTAATAACTATCAATTGTTTCCATGTGTAAAAAGTGAGACTGTTTGGCTGGGGTAAGCTGTGACTTCATCATTAGCATAGTTCCCTGTAGATGTGCCTTGAGCAATTGTAATTTCTGACAGGCCCAGTTGGATAAGCAGGAATATTCTTCAGCTGCCTGCAGGTCTTTGAATGGCTACTTGAGGCTGGCTCTATAAGCCAGTCAGTCCCCATAGACCTCCATGTGAAAATACCCAACTTTACAGTAGAAATAAACATGTTTGCAGCCTGGTACAAAAACCAACTTTGGTTACTTTAAGTAATTTCCTTCTTCATGACAGTCATGTGGCAGATGGATACACAACTTGCCTGTTTAAATGTTGTTAAGGCTTAAAGTTAAGGGCAGGCTGCTTTCATTGACAGACTGTCTGCCGATAGTGTTCTTGGTTTCTCAATCAGATCCACCCCTTGATCCTCCACAGCTCCAGCCTCTCACCCAAACATGATCACTTATGGCTACAAAAATCCAAAACTGAGTCGGCCAAAATGCCAAAGTCAAGGCTTCAAAATGGGAGTCCACAAACAAATTGGTGACATCACAGTAGCTATGTCCATTATTTTTACAGTGTATGGTCAGTCTCACCTATGACACATGACACATTTACATACTCTGTAGAGCGGACTTCTGAGTGCACTTTACTGATTGTATAAGGATCCTGACATTGACTTCAGAGTAGAGCAATGCCAAAAACAGCAAACAATATATACTCATGGGCAAAAGTGCTCTATTTACAGTGCTCAAACAAAAGAATACTAGAAAACCAAATAATAACTAAAAAAAAAGGTAGTCAGCGAAACAAAAACTCAACTCACCTACAGATAGCTTTCCTAAATAACAAAGTTATCAAGTTACAGATGTAGAGCTTAGGCCATAGTGCTTCACAAAATGAATGAAAATTAAATTAAATTATAAATATATTAACTATTTAAGTAAAAGTGAGATGAGAATTATGAATTTCTTGCTCAAGATGACAGATATCAGCAGCTAACAGTAGCTTTAAGCCAATACATACAGTAATGTACGGAAACGTATTGCATTCACTTGACAAATAAAAAAAGTCCTGTTTTTCAGAGTAATTTTTTCAGTTTTTCTGAGTAATTTATTTATTTTTCTGTTTTTTTGGTGTAATTTATTCTGTTTTTCTGAGTATTTTTTCCCCTGTTTTTCAGAGTAATATTTTCTGAGTATTTTTTTGTTTTTCGGGGTAATTTTTTTTCCTGAATGAGGAGACGAGATACTTCAAAATCTCGCAAGAAGCTCCCACCTGGCACCTGCAAGTGACCCCGGCATCCATGGTGACTCCTGCTCATGGATGTATTTTGCATCCGTGCTCCTGCTCCTAGACAATTTCAACTACGGGATCAATAAGGGTAAGGCATGTAATACACGTGTATGGGCATGATTTCAGTTGTCAAGTAATGTTGTTACAACCTGTTACTAACCTGTTACATTGAGCGATAGGCCTACACTAGAAGGATGCAGTCGAAAACATAGCTAGATTATTATACCCTGTGTGTAACTAATTATATGCCTTACCCTTATTGATTCTGTAGTTGAAAAGAGGCCCGTTTCCATTGCAGGAACTTCAGGGTAATTTTACAGGGCTGGGGCCGTTGGTGCGTGTCTCCACCGCAGGAACCACCCCCAAAGGACAGAGTTCCGGAACTTTTACAGGGGCTAAACAAGTCCCTGCCTTGGGGTAGGTACTCAGAATGGCCCCGAAAGACTTGTCCAACGACAAGAAAAACGGCGGATGCAGAACAGGTGTGTGGAATGACAAGGGAGACGCGGAGTGAGCCAACACTGCCAGAGAAAGAGACACGGTGCGTACAGACTGCGACGTCAGGCTGAGGAGACGCCAGGTTCAGGGGGACTGTGGAACGAGGGGATGTTTGGAGCCAGAGGAATAGCCGACAACCCGTACGAGCCAAGAGAGAGGCTGCGTCCAAAAGGCCCACTGGCATACTGCATACTACTACTACGTACTACCACTAGATACTACTCCTATCTACTAAACAAGTTGGGTCCATTCGGACATACTAAAAGATTGGAGGGAAAACACTCCATCCGCTGGCAGAGCAGAGGTACTGCACATCTGCCAGCAGATGGAGTGCCTACGAAAGCAGCCCATCTGCTGGCTTGGCTGAGGTACTGCACCAAAATCCGAACGCACCTGTGACTATTGAAATTACCCAAAAATGAAGCTGGCCATCCTTTACCCACCAGCAACATGGCTGCAAGCTCTCTCATGCTTCTCAACATGCAAAATGCGAGGCGTAGGCGAGCCAGAGCTTGCAGATGCCTCCTTTTGCACATAATAATTAATTCACTTAAATTCAAAACTTAAACTTTGCACTTTGAAGATCCTTCATATTGTTTCTGAAATAATCCAACCTGTTAAGGTGATGACAACCATCATCACTTCTCATAAGTGTCACAACACTAACATCATGTGTCAGTCAAGTGATTAGTTCATTGAATATCAATATCTAGATACAGCATTTCCACCAGCACATTCTGTCATGTGTGTAGGCTGAGTCACTTTGAACACCTGTCACCTCACACAGTACAATGACATCCAATAAAACTGCTCTGCCATGATGTACTTTCATTATGCCAAACTTTATTATCATTTGTTTTAACAGTACTAGTATTTATTATTATCATTACTTATTTTATTATTGTTATTTGTTTTATGTCACCATTATTATTGTGGTTTTTGTACACACACACACACACACACACACACACACACTGTCACTACTGTCACTAGTCTTTGCTGTATGTCATATGTCTTTATTTGTACGTATGTATGTAACTGTGTATTATGTGTCTTCTTTCACACAAAAAAACAGTACTAGTATTTTAGGTTGTGTTCAAGCATTTGAGGTCACAGTAGGCCAGTGGTTTCAATTCACTGTAGCCCATATGACAAGCACACACAATCACTTTAAATTATTAATTTAATGTAATTAAATTATTCCTTTTTGTTCACATTTCAGAGTGGACCCTGTGGTACATACTGCCAACTAAACACCAACGTGCCCATCATTCGGCAGTTCTTGGATGACACAGTTGACCTGCGCCCCAACCTTCGTCTCTCTTGTCGATCCCTTGCTGCTTTGACTGCTGCCCTCAACTTCAGTGTAACCCAAGGCTGGCCAAAGGACATTGAGGTGCTGGTGTTTGTCTGCTGGCTGGCCCATGCTGCTCCGTACAGAGTCGTGTCTGCAGCCTGTGACATCCCAAAGTCCACTGTGCATGACATAGTGCACAGGGTCAGCAAGGCTGTCATGGGCATCCTGGGCCGCACCATCCGCTTCCCCAACCCTGACCAGCTGGAGAACATCAGTGCTGGCTTCAGCCGCCTTGCTGGATGTCCAGCATTGAGCACAGTGGTTGGGGCAATTGATGGCTGCCATGTGCGCATAAAACCACCCACTGTTGACGAACAGGACTACCTGAACAGGAAGCTGTTTCACTCTATCCAGTTGCAGGCCATCTGTGACCACGAGGGGAAGTTCCTTGATATCTTAGTGAGCTTCCCTGGCTTGGTCCATGATGTCCGTGTACTGCGAAACAGCCCCGTGTATTACAGGCAGCTCTACCCACCAGAGGGATGGTGCATCTTGGGTGATGGAGACTACCCTTCCTTGGCTGCCTCCATCTGCCTCATAATGCCCTACCGGGAACCTGTGGTGAACCCTGTGCAGGCCCGGTTCAACAGCATGCATGCAAAGGCCTGGAACATCATCGAATGAGCTTTTGGGATGATGAAGGCCCATTGGCGGTCCATCTTCTTCAAGGCCCTTGAGGTGAAGCCAAGATTTGCACCGGAGGTCATCGCTTGTTGTGCCATCCTCCATAACATCCACATGGACAATGGTGACCTGTTTGAGGCCGAGCCTGCCGATGAGGAAGATGGACAGTCGCCCTGTTCAGAAGCAGCATCAGGGGACAACCTGCGGACAGACTACTTCTGAATATTGTATAGTGCCATAAGTAGACACTTACTATACAACATTATGTTCCATTACCCTATGTATATATATGTGTGTGTTTGCATACATACATACACACACATGTACATACATAGGGTAATACAACGGAATATTGTATAGTATCATGTGTCTACTTATGGTACTATACAATATTCATAACACACACACATTTCAATGTCCTTTGGCCAGTCATGGGTCTACAATGAAGTCAATGGCAGCAGTTAGGGCAGGAAAAGAGAGACGAGAGAGACAAAGGTTGAGGTTCAGGTTAACTGTTCATCCATAAACTGCAGAATGATGGGCAAGTTGGTGTTTAAGTTTAAGTAATAGTTTAGGTTCTAGTTATAGGTTAATTTAATTTACATATATTGGGTTTTGTATTGCTATGTACCTCAGCAAATTTTTAATTTTGTATAATTATTTTGGTTTATTTTCTGTTTGGATTCAATAAACAACTTTTTGACTCAAATGTACCTGAAATTGTTGTGTGATTCTTGAGCATGATCAAATCAAACCTGAAGTATAAAATACAAAGTCAATACACAGAGATGCACAAACTTAAGAACACCAACCTTTTCTACACAGTCAAAGACGAAATCAACATTCCACACAACTTGTGATTTTCAAAGTGTGTTTTCATAGAAACAATTTAATAAAGGATTTCCACAAAATATCAAAAACAAAAAACTGATCCTGTGCTACTGTATATACTAATAAATATAAATTCACTTAAACAAAATATATAAATAAATAAAATCATTTAAACATCTCCTAACTCAAAAAGAGGCACAAAACCAAACCAAACAGAAATTACTTTTTTGTGAGCATCTCAAGAAGTTTAAGCTAGCGCTCTTCTCTCTCTCTTGCTTCCTGGTCCCTTCTCTCTTCTCTTTCCTCTCTTTTCTTTCCTCTCTTTCAATTCTCTCCCTCTCTCGTCTGTCCTCTCTCTCTAACTGCTCTCTCCACCTTCTCTCTCCTCTTTCTTGTGACTGCCTCTCTTGCTCCTCCAGTCTCTCATCCACCTCTTGCAGAATCTCGGCAACATCTGGCCTCCTCCTCTTCCTCCTGGGCATCCATGCCTCCTCCTCCTGGCTCTCAGGGGTGGTGGTTGATCTTGCAGTAGAGGTGGAGGGTCGTGCAGAGATGGAGGGTCGTGCAGTGGCCGAGGTGGAGGGTCGCGCAGAGGTGGAGGTGGAGGGTTTAGTGCCAGGGGTGGAGGGTTCAGTGCCAGGGGTGGAGGGTTCAGTGCCAGTGGTGGATGCAGTGGCAGAGGGTGACGAGGATGCAGTAGCCTCCTGGCTGGCTGAGAAAATGAGGCTGGGTGGTGTTATTTGTGGCCTCTCACCCAGAGCGATAGATAAGAACAGAGTGGCGACACTCCCATAGGACTCCGTTGTAAAACATGGCGGACAGAACTTCCGGGTTATGGAGCCCTCTATNAGTGGCGACACTCCCATAGGACTCCGTTGTAAAACATGGCGGACAGAACTTCCGGGTTATGGAGCCCTCTATAGTTCCAAACATTCCTCCCGTGGGGTCGGACCCCGTTTATTTCAATGGCAGCATGACGAGAAACTCCTGAGGTAAGGTGATGAAATATCGACCAATTTTAAGTCATTAGGTGTGTTTATTATATGGAGGTCCTTTATTATGTAGATATCAATTTTTTTTGTATGTTCACAATGTAATTATGGTTTTTTTGAGTCAGGAATTATGATCGGTTTTCAGTCATTGCCTGCTAGTTCGTTAGCTTGACGTCGCCAGCTGTGGAGGTTTAGCACCGTTTTGCACCTGACATTTGTGATGTCCCTGTTTGATTAATGAATCACAGACAAATCACATATAGTTGGGATGATTACTAACGGGTTTTATTTAGATTTTATCATCCGAACCTGACGGCGTTAACTAAGGGTAACGTTAATAGGATGTGTTAGCTTTTATTAGTTTTCTCAACTGTTCCATAAGAAGATAATGTAGGACAGGCGCACATACTTCTGCCCGAGCCTTTATTAAATACCTAATGCTACGTATGGTGTATTCTTTTAATGTTTACATAAGAGTGTTATTATCTCATAATTTAATTCCTGTTTATATGTATGCCTTGGGATGACAGACTAAAATAGGACTACTACTTCACTACTACTATTATGTTTAACTTGGAACTATGTCACAGTCACACTATAGAGGCTAGACAGCTTAAAAATGCTATTTCAGCTTGTCTTTGAATGTTACATTCATAAACTTAATTGTACAAGACCAAAACATTGCACAGTGGTTGAAACACTACGGGAGTATATCACAACACTTGTTACCACTGAATTAATGATATTATTTACCTATGGCTTAAAAATATTACATGTTTATATGGAACGTTGAGTTTAATTATTTTAAAGGGGACATATTACGCAAAACTCACTTTTTCGTTGCTTTAGTATGTATATTTGCATATCCGGAGTGCCTCCCCACCCCTTAAGAATGATTTTCGACCACTAAGTCAATGTTTTGTAAACTTGCTGAGTCAGGGAATGTGTCTCTAGAAGAGCCATTTAGATTTCACCCGCACTGTTACGTAACAGTCCGGGTGAAATCTGAGTGATATGAATACTCCCACCCTCACGCTGGGTATCTCCTCCCATATTACGCCGGCTACCTGAACGAGGATCCGCCATGACAGCCTGACCGCTACCATGTACAACCCGAAAGCCAAGCACTCCTGCTCTGTCGTCGGATGCACGGATACTCATGTTTCCCTACATCGCCTCCCTGCCAAAGAGGATATCAGAGCGAAGTGGCTAAATTTTATTTTTCAGGGAAACGTCCCAGCTTCAGTGAGCAAAAGCGTTTTTGTCTGTGCCAATCACTTCACGCCGGACTGTTTCAGCAACGAGGGTCAGTATAAGGCTGGACTGGCAACGAGATTGTTCCTAAAAGATGGATCCATACCCACTGTCCGTGGCGACGCCACAGATGAAGGAACTGTAAGTATTAAAAAACAGTGTAGTTTGTGTTACTTTGGCTGTTTAGCACATGAGCTAACACTAACCGTCGATGTAAATATGAGGCTGAACTAACGTTACAACGTTGGGCTTACTGGCCATAGGATTCACGGTAATGTTAATGTTGCCAAACGTTAATTTGTCATATCAGCACTCTTAAAATGAATTAGGATATTGAGATTTGATGGCTTCTAACCGGCCGGTGAACCACTGCGCGGCCGTGAACATGCTAGCTGGCGCTAGCTAGCGCTAGCTGCTAGCTAGCTCACCGTCCGCGAACAATTTCTCAGTTGTTAGTGCTGCTGTTCCGACGTGATCACGCATGGGAGACCGTCTCCTCCACATGCTCACGGCCGAGCAGACTGTATGAAATGGTCTCAGTTGTTCACGGACGGTGAGCTATTGTTCCGCCGTGAACACGCAGAGAGGACGGCATGAAATGGTCTGTTATTCACGGCCAGTGAGCTACGTTAATTAATTAGCATGTTGTGCTAAAGGACAGTGTGTTAGATGCCCAGGAGCACCTTGGCAGTCGAACGACTTCCTTTGTGTTGGTATGCATGTAACTACGTGTGTAGTGTTAGCTGCTGGCATGAGAGACCCGATCTGAGAGTACCAAAACGTTATCTGCAGTAAAGCAATCACTACTTTGTTTTGGAGCCGGAGACAGGGGTTACCTGCCACATGTCTGCTGTGTTGTGCTACGATTAACGTTAGTTATATGCAGGCACGGACACAGAAAAGTTGCTTCGCAAATGTGTATTGCTCACTTACTAAATCTAATGTGAAATGAGGGATTTGCGTGGGTTTGCTCGGATTATGATTTGCCAGATTTTGCCTTATCAAATTGATTTTTTAATCATCATTTCTGTCTACATAGCTTTGTTTCATGTAACATGAGAAAACAGACACATAACATATTATCTCCTTTTGTGTTTAGCCAAGCACATCTGTACAGCAGCCTGTGGTGCATCATGTTGCCTGCCAGACAGACCAACCAGTGACATGCACAGTTGGCACACAGCTTTCCATGAGAACTCTCCAGCCTCACTTCAGAAGCACAGGTTTGTTGAACAAAAGCATATGATGTAATGTTAGTCACTATGTTACTCTAATATGTAATTTTTGTTTTACTCTGTTATGAATATGGATTGGCTAATGAAAATTCTGTTTTCATCTATCAAAGGCACACAGAAATCAGTGTCCTGTGCTGATGTTGGAGTTGGCACCTCAACCATTGCCTTCTCAACTTCTCAACCATTCTTATCATCAACCCCAATAAAGAGACCACGCAAAAGGGCTCGCTTGGAACTGGAGGAGGAGGAAGAGGAGAATCCATTGGAGGGCAGTTCATCCATGGACATTCCCGACCCCAAGGATTCTTCGTATGATCCTGAGGACTCTGTCACAGTTTTGTCTGAGTCAGCAGATGTGACGTGAGTAAATAACCTCAGAATTTACTTTTTTTTTTTTTTTACATTATTTGTTTCAAGTAGTATGGGAGTTACTAATTTATCTTTGCAATTTTTGTTTTTCTACTAGACTGGAGCCTTCCTGCCCTGTTCATAAGACACCAGCATATATTGTCTATGAAAAGTGTCTGATGGAGCTGTTTGAGGTGTGCCCTGTCTGTCAGCGTGTTTTAGACATGCAGACAAGAAGGATAGGCACGTTCCTCTCTGTAGAACAGACATGCCCACATTGTCAGTTCTTCAGAAAATGGAACAGCCAGCCAATTCTGGGAAGCACACCTGCAGGAAACCTCCAGCTTTCAGCTGCAGTATACACCACAGTTGCATCTTTCTTCAAACTTGAAAAGGTAATGGATTAAGACTTCACTATGTAATTTTATTTGTTTTGCATATCATATTGCTAAATGTTGTATAGAGCAGTACTTATGACACATCTTGTCTGTCTGTCCTCAGATCTTCCGGGCAATGCAGCTGAAGATGTTTCAGTATGACACTTTTCGCCGTCATGCACGGACGTACATAGAGCCTGCCATCATACACACGTGGAAGACTGTGCAGGACGCCATGATGGAGCAGCTTAGTCAGCAGGAGAGTGTTATCCTAGGTGGCGACCTAAGGGCTGACTCACCAGGTATACAAGATTCTCTGATACATTTTACTCTAATTTTTTTGTTTAGAAAAGTGGTTACTATGAAGTACAACAAAGTGATATGTAAAATGTAATTTTTGTGAAATGATGCATTTATTTTTGAAGGGCACTCTGCCAAGTTTGGCAGTTACTCAATGATGGACCTGAGGAGCAACACTATTATTGACATACAGCTGGTTCAGGTGAGTTCAAAAGTGTGATCTGTATTCAAGTTAACTAATCTGTGTTTAACGAGTGCTTTTAAAAATCATTTTGTTTAATAGACTTTTATGTTCTGTTTTTGTGTTTTTCTGATCAGAGCAACGAAGTTGGTGGAAGTTATCACATGGAGAAAGAAGGTCTGAAGAGGAGCCTTGCTCTCTTGGAGGCACGTGGTGTTGCATTGGACAGCATTGTCACAGACCGTCACCCTCAGATCCAGAAGTTCCTGAGGGAGGCCAAAGTGACACAGTACTACGATGTCTGGCACATGGAAAAAGGTATTCGTTACTGTGTTTGTGTGTTAGACGGTGAAAATCAGGATAAAATGCCCTTGCTCACAGGTCCACACACTATATTTTCCTAGTATCATAATTACTAATGTGTTACATGGGTTAGGGTTACGTGTTTTGTTTTCAACATATACTGTTTATCTGAACGTGACTGAAATATTGTTTTATTAGGACTGTCCAAAAAACTGGTCAAGATAGCCCAGAACAAAGATTGCGCGAAGCTGAAGAAGTGGCTTCGCAGCATAAAGAACCATGTGTACTGGACAGCAGCCTCCTCTACGTCAGGGCCAGAGAGAGTGGCTAAGTGGACCTCCATTCTTAACCATGTCCAAGACATCCACACACATCAAGATCCTGCTTTCCCCCAGTGCTTGCATCCGCAGCGCACCTCGAGAGACAAGAGCAAATGGTTGACAGCAGGTAGATAGACACACAAAATTGTGTGTAAAATGTGTTTTTTTTATATATCTAAAAGATGTTTAAACCATTTGAATTCATGTGTTTTGTTTTGTTTTTTCAGGAACACCAGCTTTCTGTAGGCTAGAAAAGGCGTTGACTAATAAGAGAATTCTGAAAGATGTGGAAAAGCTCAGCCCTCACTATCAGACCTCATCGTTGGAGGCATTTCACAGCGTCATTCTGCGGTTTGCACCCAAGAATGTTGTCTTCCCCTACCTTGGAATGTTATGCAGGTGAATAAAACATCACTATCTGTTTAGTTCATTATAGTTTAGTGTGCTTGCTATGATTTTTAAAGTACTATTTTTCCACCCAAGACTCTACCTGGCTGCCCTGCATTACAATGAAAATACTGGCCGACCACAGGCAACATCTACAAGTGGAGAGCTGCTGTACAGAGTCAACTTCCCCAAATCTAAACATGGAGAATGCACCGCAAAGCCTGTGAAAGCAGAGCCAACATTCCGTAAGTTTTAAAATCTTTTATTTGAACCCAACAAATTAAAATAAACATGAACACACAAGCATAACACAAAAGGTTGAAAATAAACACAAATAAAATCTGAATTCTTTTTAGATGGTTTTCAAAATAAATAATAAATAAGGAGAATGTATAAATTAGGAGAAATAAGAAGAGACACTTTACAACACTGCAGCACAAGGCTTTTTGGTTCTAGTGCAATTTTCTTGTAAACATTAATTTTTGTTTATTGCACTGCAGACTACGTTGATGCACTGTTGGACCTGATCTTCGAGAAGGTTTTCCAGGACCCTGCCCCATATGTGAACGAGGTGCTGAAACTTACAATCCCTGAAGACCTCTCTGCTCAGTATGAAAGACCCGACAAGCTGGATGTTATAGCCAGTTACGTGTCAAGGTTCAACCAAGGACAGGTCTGAACCCAACATACTGTCCTTCTGCGTCAGGGAACTCTGCACGAATCCTTAGCACCACGCAGGCAGGCAGCACAACTCTCACTCTCCGCCCCAGAAAGCCCCAGCACCAGCTTACAAAGCTTCTGTAGGCTAGGTATCTATATTGGCTGGACACAATTCAATAGAAAGTCAGCACTGAATGTTCACATCCATGGCAACTGGCAAGTTCAACTGTTCCACTTCAGATATTTATTTTGTATGTTTACAAATGTTTCTTGCAATAAAACATCTTTACTAACTGTTCTGTGTGTTTTCATTGTTTGATATGTAGTTGTGTTACCATGTTACCAAGTAAAAAATAGTAAAGATAAACTATAAGCAATGTAAGATAGGGAAAGCAGTTATGTACTTTTCATCATAACACTTTTGCAATAAATTAATAGTATTTATAGGACTAAAAGCTTACTGCACTATTCCCCTCAGACGTAAAGGTCCATAGTCTGCCCGATAAATGTTCAGTGCATTCTGCAGTGAAAATACATTCAGGCAGACAGGTTCTAGGCCAGGATGGTCCACCATGCATGATGGTGGCTCAGGAAGCTGCTGTAGTCTTCGTGTAACCTAGAAATTATGAAAGGTAAGTGAGTGACAATGGATAACAGAAAAGAGAGACTGTAAAATGACAACCATGTTTGCCCAGTGTTCACACTTGTGGTATTTCCATACAGCAGATATTCTCGGGCTCGGTAGGCATTTGTTCACAATTGCCACAGGAACACCTGTTTTTAAACAGAATTTGTGTTATTCATTGGAAACTACATAGCTAATCAATCACGTCGCGTTGTTTCTTTTGTAATATTTATTTAAAGTTTATAAACTGTTGGAACCGGTTCAAAAACAATACTGCTGGTAGAGAGGTGATGGGAGGCAACTGGCTCATTGAAAACTACAGTTGTTGAAAATTGTGGCAGTAGCTATTTACAGGTTGTCACTGCAAATAAGAGCAGGTTCTTAACAGACTTACCTGGCTACATAAAGGTAAATTAAAATAAATAAATAATATGGGGTTATGCTTTTCTCTAGTATGGGCGAGTGCTCAATTGCATCCGCGTTACTGCAACTTAACAGCAGTAAACGCCAGCCGAGGTTTGGCGAAGATTTATGATGTAAACACTCAGGAGAAGGGGGTTGTGATCTGTAACAACATGGGAATACGGCCACTAAGCCAGTAAAACTTTCGTTAGTCTATGCAGTAACATAAAAGTAATGTCGAGGTAACAAACTTAACTACTAACCACTGAGAAACATCCATGTTCATTCTTGGCTGCTGACTTTCTTCTGGAGCGTCTTGTTGTTCAGGGTCGGACTCCGGCTCGAACATGTACGGTTGCACCGCAGTCTGTTGTCCAGCAGCCATTTCTTTCACAAACTCAGCCGTTGCCATGGTCACACGGTGCCGGCCTCACGTCTTCCACAGGCAGGAAAAGGTGGGCGGCGCAAATACCGTCTCTGGGCGGCGCACGCAGTAGCTCATTAGCATTTAAAGGGAAAGGCACTGAAACCAGCCATCTGGAGCAGGGCTGTGAAACTGGTGTTTCAAGAACCCTGCTGTGCTCAATCCTTCAGCTTTTTCGACCAAAGCACGTTACTAACGTACCATTTAGACATCAGGGAACCTTGTCAGGAAGCAGAAATGAGCATAATATGTCACCTTTAATGGATAAAACTCCTATACAGTTCACCCATGGCTTGTGTCAGAACAAACACTTTGCACTCCCCCTATTTTTCTCTTTGTCGTGGGACTAGACAGGGATGCCCCCTCTCCCCTCTCCTATTTATTATATTTATCAAACCATTAGCAATTAAACTACAAACAGATGACAAGGTAACAAGGACAAAGAAAATCTTACCCCCTTCTAGAACGTGCCAAGTCAGATTTTCAGAGATGGGATAATCTCACACTGTAATTAATTGGACGTATCATTGTCATGAAAATGACCATTCTACCAAAATTCTTATTTTTATTTCAATGTATTCCACTTTGTATACCTAAAAAGTATTATAAATATATTTCTACATTTATTTGGAACAGCAAGCCCCAAAGGATCCGTAAAGATTTCATGCAAAGAACAAGACAATCAAGGGGGACAAGCTCTACCCAATTTTCAGTTCTACTATTGAGCAGCAAATGTACGAAATATGCTTTACTGGCTAGGTGCTTCATCTTTAGAGGCACCAACATGACTCCATATTGAATCGTCATACTGGCTACGGTTACACGATGGCTTCTCATTCAGAATGAAATAAATCTGAATGAAATCATTCGGAATTAAAGTATTTACAGGTAGTTTACATGAAAAATATTCATTCAGAATGAGGGTTTACAAGGGAGATCAGTTAAATCGCATAAATTCAGGTATGAGCAAGGTTTGGGGCAGGGAAGGTTTCTGATTGGATAGGGGGCGGGGCGGATGTTACGTGTTTACATTTACCAGAAGAAAACACTGTAGTCCTCGCTCCGGATAACAAGATGCTTGACGACGCCGTTCCTAGTGCCTTTTTCGGGCTTGTTTTGCTTATGTCTTGTCTTGCCTTCTGGCAGAAGGTACAGACTTCCCAAATGCAAACTGAACTGTTTCAAACACTCATTCATTCCTAATTCCATCAAATTGTTAAATAGCTCTTGAAGGCTGGGAAATACTGGGGACTGTGCAATAACTTAACTTCATGTAATAACTTGGGTTGGGAAATATTGGGGATTGTGCAATAACTTGGTGTTGTTCTGTTTTTCACATTTTGTCTGGTTTGTGTCTTGAGTGTGTATGTTTGCCATTTCCTGTGTCTTTGCTGTTTTGTGTATATTTATTGTCTGCAAGGCAGCCAGTGTATGCACTCGAGTCCACAACAAATTTCCCCTAGGGGACAATAAAGTATATTCTATTCTATTCTTGAAGCAGCAGTACGACAACAACCTTGTTCTGCTAATGCTTCGTCTGTTGAGGAGGAGAAAGGAGGTAGAAGGTAGAAGAAGGCAGATAGAAGACCGTGCTTTGGCGTATGGAAACCGGTGAGTGCAACGAGTCAGACTGTTCTATCTCAGCCCGTTGCTATGCGCGCTATATACGTCATCGCGCCAGAAGGGCAAGGAAACGAGCATGCTCAGAAAGACCGGAATGAACTTAAAGAGGAATGAGCATATACAAGCGCGAGAAATTCTTTAATGCGGAATGACAAACAGAGTAAACCACCCCCTTAAATCGGATTTAATTTTCAATCGGAATGACCATTTTTCAATCGGAATGACCGTTTACATGACCACTTTTAATCGGAATGGCCTTTCATTCCAAATGAAAGTGGAATTAAACTGTCCATGTAAATGGGCTGACTGTGGTAAAACCTCACTGCCGGCTTTGCTTGGGTCAGCTCTTCAATTAGAACACTTGAACACTTTTAAGTGCAATCCTTTGGTATATCATTCTCTGAGAATCTGGGTGTCGTGTAGGAAAAGGTTTGGATTACATTCAGTGTCAATCCAGTTTACTCCAATCGTGTTTCCATTATCAATAATGTGCACAACAGGGGAGTAATCAAAGTGACATATACTACATTATCAACTCTACATTCTCCCTCTCTCTCCACTACTAGATCCCAGTGGGAGGATGATTTGGTTTCCAAAATCACAGATCACAATTGGCAGTCCAGTTCTCTCTTTCTTAATATGCGCCAGACATGGCCTCTTACAGTTCAGGGTCCTGCACCACCTTCATCTTTCCCAAGAAAAGTTAGCCAAGATTTATCCAAGGACAGATCCCTTATGCAACAGGTGTAGAACAGTAACAGGATCCCTCATTCATACTTTCTGGACCTGTCCAAATCTTAATAATTATTGGACATCGATATTTAATAAATCTTCTGTGGCTTTTGCCGTCAAATTTACCCCTTCCCCACTAGTTCCAATTTTCGGAGTAGTTCCAGAGAACATACCTCTCTAAAGACACTACACAAATGCTATTGCCTTTGCCTCCTTAATTGCTAGACGCCTTATACTTACTAAGTGGAAGCAGGAGGCATCTCCCACACATGCCCAGTGGGCTAGTGATCTTATGAGTTTTCTACACTTGGAGAAAATAAGGTGTACACTGGGTGGTTCTACAGGTAAATGTAAGAGGACATGGAAACCATTTCTGACATATATGAAAACACTAAAACTGTGTGATGTTTTATAATTGATTCTTACTTAGACAACTGTGACTGATGTATAAATATATTTGTATGATTGTGTGTGTGTACCTATGTTTACATTTTGACTTATGTTGCTATCTGATAATATATACAACCTTTTTTTTCATTGCCAATGGGAGTGGGAGGATGAGGGATGGGGGATGGGGGTATAAAAATGGACAACATACAATTATTTTGGTATTCCACTCTGGACTTTTATGTCTTTTTATGTTGTTGAAATCAAGGAAAATAAAATCAAAAATAATAATATTAACAATCCATACTGTCAAAATTTCACCAGACAACTGTAAATAAAATCCCCAATGTGGTCAGTTTCAGCAGTAAATGGGCTCTGGTAGGCTGGATGTCATAAAGTCCTGTTCTGCAGAGAAGTCTGCTGGTTGCCAATGACACTCAATCAGAGCATCATACAGTTCCTCACTGAGCTCCATGAACTTTTTGTTAGCCTCCACCACATCCAGCTTCGGACTGGGATCTGCAACACAGAGACAGTTGATAACGAAGTGTTTCGCAGACATAATAAAAAAATGGAAAAATACACAAGCACATAAGATACATGAACAAAAGAAATATATATATATACAGTACAGGCCAAAAGTTTGGACACACCTTCTCATTCAATGCGTTTTCTTTATTTTCATGACTATTTACATTGTAGATTCTCACTGAAGGCATCAAAACTATGAATGAACACATGTGGAGTTATGTACTTAACAAAAAAAGGTGAAATAACTGAAAACATGTTTTATATTCTAGTTTCTTCAAAATAGCCACCCTTTGCTCTGATTACTGCTTTGCACACTCTTGGCATTCTCTCCATGAGCTTCAAGAGGTAGTCACCTGAAATGGTTT